GCAATTTGGCTGGGGCTGGGTTTGAACCCACTACCCTCAGTATATGGGGCCGGTGCCCTACTCACTGAGTCACAGGCACTGCCCAGAATTTATCTCTTTACTTCCTTGAATCTGCTCTATTTACTGAATCATGCATGTCAATGCAATCACGGATGGGTGTGATTAGCTGAACTTTAACCAAAAATGATTTATTTACTATGAAACCCTTACCGTCTTTTCCCATATTTAACTCAAGTATTTCAAAAATCTATTTTTCCTTCCCTTTGTTAGCTTCTGTCATTAGACTCCATGTATATGTACAGAGTTTCTGAGTGCAGACAGCATGAAAAGGGCAAAATAAAAATAGCCAATTTGTCAATAATAGAATGAGAAAGTTTCTAAGTGGTGGAGGAGGACACTGGTGCTAAAGCTAACTGGAAGAGATGAGAGGGCTGGGTAGAAGCCTTCCAGAGCTGGGCTTACTTTGAGGCAGGGCAAGTGGCTCTTTCTGGATAGTGGAGACAGGGAGAGAAAAGTCAGTCAAAGGTTCTACTTTCCTGCTGTCTTGTCCAGTGCCCACCCTGGGACTCCTGTTCCTTGAAAAATTGGATTGCTGAACACTCAGTACAAAGTGAGAACTTACTTGTAAGCAATTTCTTCAGGCTGGCCTAGTTTGCAGAACCCTCAACTCCAGCTAATAGGGCTTTCTGGAATCAGGCGTCTCGGCCTTATCTCCTCCCACAACACTGTATGATTGCCTTTCTATTTAGGTTCTTTCCGGTTGGTACTGATTGTTGCTTTTATTAGCAGATAGCATACCAAAATAAAAATAAACACAAGTGTTGTTATAGGAAGAGAGTAAAGTGGATTCTGTGTCTCCAGGCTGGGAAGAGACTTGCTCTGACACCCAGTGGTCAACCCGTACCTGATCATCTGAGCACACCTCTGCAATTATCGTAAAGATGTTTGTCTGTCTGTCTTCTTCCTTCTCAGCTATGGTCTTCCCCTGAGTTGCTAATTGACACTAAAATAGTCCAGGAAGCAGTCATTTCAGGGCTAGGCCTACTGCCACACCTGTCAGCTCCTTTCTACAAGCTGCTGCCTCAGCTGGCCAGTCACCACAATTTGAGGTTAGGGGTTTGGTTCTGGAGGGGCAGGTAGCAACAACTACTACAAAGCAAAGAATATTCACAAAGAGTTGTCTTGTCATGTTCAATGTCTAGGCCAACTGTTCCCACAGCTTAGTGTAGGGGTCCTATATTATCATTCTTATCCCCTTCTACAGATGAAGAAATGGACTGACAGATGACAATCTCAAAGGACCAAGATTTGTGCCTCAGCTCAATTTCTGTACCTGCAAATGGAAATTATATAATAGCTACCTCTTAAGGTAGCTGGATCAAATAAATATTATTTATGCATTTACTTGTTTATTGCCTTTTTTCTGCTGTAGCCTGTAAACTCCAATAGGCAGCAGCTTTGGCTTGTTCACTGCTATACTGTCAGAGCCTAGGGTGTCCAACCTGTGGCCCATGAGCTGTATGTGGATTATGTGAGAGCTTTTTTGCTTCATCTGTGATGCTGGATATCACAAAAATTGTGCACACTCTCTTTTTTTTTCTTTTTTAAGACAGGGTCTCACTATGTTGTCCTGGGTAGAGTGCTGTTGCATCACAGCTCACAGCAACCTCAAACTCTTGGGCTTAAGGGATTCTCTTGTCTCAGCCTCCCAGGTAGCTGTGACTACAGGCACCCGCCACAACACCCAGCTATTTTGGGGTTATAGTTGTCATTGTGGTTTGGCAGGCCCAGTCTGGTTTCGAACCCTCCAGCTCCAGTGTATGTGGTTGGCGTCCTAGCCGCACAGCTACAGGCGCCGAGCAGCCCCCTTCTTTTTTTCACTCATCAGCTTTTTTTAGCGTTTGTGTATTTAATGAGTGGCCTAAGATGACAATTCTTCCATGTGGCCCAGAGAAGCCAAAAGGTTGGACACACCGCCCTGGCACATAGTAAGCGCTCAATAAATATTTGTGCCTAAATGGAAATGACAGGAGATAAGCCTAGCCCTTCTCTAACCTTAGTTCCCCAGATCTGCCTTCCACACCAAGTGGGGCAAGGTCAGCAAAAACTCCAGGAGTGAGGAGGCTGCAATACCAGCCTAAGCCCTTAGCTTCCCTTTTTCTTTTTCAAAATGAGGAAAAACAGTTTTCTCGCCGTGCCTGCAGGGAGCTGAGTTGCAGACTGCTGGGGAACAGGAAAGAAGCTGAGCGTGTGAGACTCTCCAAGCCACGGAACAGGAGGGTGGCGCCTGTGGCTCAAGGAGTAGGGCACCAGCCCCATATACTGGAGGTGGTGGGTTCAAACCCAGCCCCAGCCAAAAACTGCAGCCAAAAAAAAAAAAAAAAACCACCCCAAAACAAAGCCATGGAACAGGAACCGCGCAGCGAGGAGACCAAGCGCTGGAGTACAGAGCGGCCCCCTAGGGTGCCGCAAGGCAGGGAAGGGTGGCGAAGGGCGTGGAGGCGGTGGGCGGGGCGAACACCCTGCGGCAGCTCTCGCACTCCGGTGCCGCTCCACCTTAAGTGCACGGACTCCCTTAAAGGCGGGCGCTGAAGCCGCAGCAGGGGGCGGAGCTTCTCATGCAAATGAGGGGCGTGGGTCGGTGGGGCGGGGCGGGCGGGGCGCTGATCTGACGTCAAGCCCGCGGCCGGGGCAGTTGGCTCGGCAGCGGCGGAGCGGCCGGAGCAGCGCCCAGCGGGGCCGCGCGGCGGGGCGCGAAGAGCGGCGGCGGCAGAGCCAGAGCAATATGGCGCCGGTGGGCGGGGGCGGGCACCCGGGCGGCGGGCTGGCCCGAGGGCGCCTCCTCCTGGCGGCGCTGGTGCTGCTGGTGCTGCTGTGGGCGCAGGGGGTCCGGGGAGAAGGCAGCCCCCAGCCGGGCGCGATCTTCGGCATGAGGCTAGCGAGCTGCAACAAGTCGTGTGGGATGAACCCGGATGGCATCATCTTCGTGTCTGAGGGCAGCACCGTGAACCTGAGGCTGTATGGCCAGAGCCTGGGCAACATCTCTAGCAGCCTGATCTCATTCACCGAGGTGGACAACGCGGAGACCGCCCACAAGTCCACCAACTGCCTGGAGCTCACCAAGGACCTGGTGGTCCAGCAGCTGGTCAATGTGAGCCGCGGGAACACGTCCGGCGTGCTGGTGGTGTTCACCAAGTTCCTCCGAAGGAGCGAGAACATGAAGCTGTATGCACTGTGCACCCGGTCCCAGGAAGATGGGCCCTGGCTGAAGTGGACGGACAAGGACTCGCTGCTCTTCATGGTGGAGGAGGCTGGGAGGTTCTTGCCCCTCTGGCTGCACTTAGTAATCATTATCGTGCTGCTAGTGTTGTCGGGCATATTCTCTGGCCTCAATCTGGGGCTTATGGCCCTGGACCCCATGGAGCTCCGCATTGTGCAGAACTGTGGCACGGAGAAGGAGAGAAAGTATGCCCGCAAGATTGAGCCTATCCGCCGCAAGGGCAACTACTTGCTCTGCTCACTGCTCCTGGGGAACGTACTGGTCAACACCTCTCTCACCATCCTTCTAGACAACCTCATTGGGTCTGGCATCATGGCAGTGGCCTCCTCCACCATTGGCATTGTCATATTTGGGGAGATTGTACCTCAAGCCCTGTGCTCCCGGCACGGTCTGGCCGTAGGTGCCAACACCATTGTTCTCACCAAATTGTTTATGCTACTCACCTTTCCCCTCAGTTTTCCTATTAGCAAGCTCTTGGACTTTTTTCTGGGCCAGGAGATTCATACCGTTTACAATCGGGAGAAACTGATGGAAATGTTGAAGGTGACAGAGCCCTATAATGACCTTGTAAAGGAGGAGCTAAACATGATCCAGGGTGCTCTGGAACTACGGACCAAAACCGTGGAGGATATCATGACCCAGCTCCAAGACTGTTTCATGATCCCTAGCGATGCCACCCTGGATTTCAACACAATGTCAGAGATTATGGAAAGTGGCTATACCCGCATCCCAGTATATGAAGATGAGCAATCCAATATCGTAGATATTCTCTATGTCAAAGACTTGGCCTTCGTGGACCCCGATGACTGCACCCCCCTCAAGACCATCACCCGCTTCTATAATCACCCAGTGCACTTTGTCTTCCATGACACCAAGTTGGATGCCATGCTGGAGGAGTTCAAGAAAGGTAAGGCCTGATGCAGCTTCCTGGTTAAATTTCTTTGTGACATCTCTTGTTCTTTGGAGTGTTTTGTGTCTGCTGAACTTAGTGCTGTGTTTGTGCAACTCTTCGTGTTCCTTTGCCCATCACTTCCTGTGCTAATGGATGAACTACATTCGGGGCAGTAGAAATAGATCTTAAGTGCCCCAATGAATCAAAGCTGAATAAGACATATTTGTTCATTTGGAGGGCCAGAGCAAGGCCTCAGGGAGCTAGCTATTGAAGCAGGACAGAGTAACACAAATGCCTGAAAAGAGGCCAACTGTAGGGTGACACATTTAGAAGCTTTCCTAGGGAAGGGAATATTTGAGGGGAGCCTTTAAAAATACAGGCGTGGTGCTTAAGGCAGAAGAAATGCCGTAAGCATAGAAGCCAAGTGGGGAAGTAGAAGATGTGGTTGTGGCCCAGCAGGTGGTCCTCTTTAGGTGGCATATAGGCTCTGCTAATCAGTGGTAAGTGGAGGAGAGGCTGAAGTAGTTTGGGGCCCCATGGTGAACAGTAAGTTTACTGTGAGCTTGGAGCTATGGAAGGTTTTTTTTTTTTTTTTTATTAAATCATAGCTGTATACATTCATGCAATCAGGGGGTACAATGTGCTGGTTTTATATACAATTTGAAATGTTTTCATCAAACTGGTTAACATAGCCTTCACAGCATTTTCTTAGTTATTGTGTTAAGATATTTATATTCTACACCTAGTAAATTTCACTTTATGGAAGGTTTTTGATGTCACTGGGGAGTGACATCACTGGAACTCCTAGCCCACAGAAGCAGAACTGAGAGGTCTGCATTTGGCATCTGCTCAGGACAGTGCCAAGTAAAGCTTTCAACTACTCAGCAGAAGCAAGCAGATTAAGTTTTGGTTATTGTTCTGTCTTTCCCAGGCGCCAAAACATAAGCTTCCCTCCTGTGGCCCCCTGGGAATCTTCAGCTGGCCTTGCATTGCCTTGTGTTTTTTTTCTCACCTGGATTCTTGGCCAGTTCTCTGGTAGTTAGAAAGGAACAGGGAGCGTTTACTCACTAGCTTCAAAGCTCAGGTCGCACACCCCTTTCCTTACTTCCCACAAAACTTTCCTTCCAGCTCTGCTACTCAGAAGTCTTCAGAGTGGCAGTAAACAAGCCAATTATGGAGTGGAACCCTCCTAGGCCAAAGGAAATGAGGAGTCAGAAAGGAATGGGGGAATCTCATCCTAAACCTGAGGATTTTGCTTTTCATGCTCCTAGCTTCATTTCCCATGGGTAGGGCTCTGGCTGGCTGAGGCTGCTCAGGCAGGGAGGGACTAGGAGGGACTTTGGAACTCTAGTGGGGGTGAGCTGGTGTCATTTCTGGAACAGAGAGTGGAAGACAGCCTTGGAATGGGATAGGGAGGAGCTGGCCTTGCCAGGTTTGGTCTGAAAAGATGCTTGAGTCAGAGACAGGATGGTGGGTTAGTACCCTCCCTGGTAAGTTTGAGAGACTAAATCTCAGCTTTAGAGCTGAGGAGGACCTAAGTAATGTAAGCCAGAGTGGAAGAGAGCCTCAGGGAAGGCGGCCTTGCTCCAGAGACTAGAGACCTAGATACCTTGTGGTGAGAGCAGAGACTATGGGGGGCTTGGTGTACAGACTGAGGAATGTATTTCTCCCATGTACCCAAGCCTAGGACGGAATAGCAGAGAGGATCTGTGCCCCACCCTGACCCAAAGCCTCAGGCCTGAAGACTTCTCCCCATGTTGCTTGGTCAGGAACCTGATTAGGACTCTCCAGGGCACTTCCTCTTTGCTACCTCTATAGTCTTTGGGACTATTGCTTGTGACACAGGAACAGCACATCTCCAGCAGTGCAGCTGGGATCTGGATACAGCCAGTATGAATTGGCCTAACTAGGCTTCCCAGCCCCAAGCTCTCTTGAGTAGGTACCTCCTGGGATGTTTTTGGACTCAGTCTTGTGAAGAATTACCCTTTCATTAAACTGGGAAAACCAAGCTAGCATCTCTTAGGCCAGAGCTCTGCCGAGCTGAATTCCCCAGATTTATGGTTGAGTGTTGAGTCAACAGGACTCTCCTCCTTAACAAAGGCCAGTAGCCTGAGGCAGAGCCCTGGAGGGGATGCTGAGTGGGAAAGCAGGCCTGGTCTTCTAGTGCAGCCGGCACCCCTAGGGGCTTTGCGCTATCCCTTCCTCCAGTTCTCGGAGGTCTCTGAAAACTAGTTTTAACCCATCTTGCTCTGAGTTGCCCCTGGTTTGGTCTCTTTCAGATCTTTCCATCTGGCATCTACCTTTTTAGGCTGACACCCTCAGGACATGGTAAACACCTAGTGTTCATCTGCAGCTTACAAGGGTATCTTTACAAGTCTGGTGTTTGAAAGGCTTCTTTGGCAAAAACAGACAAGAGAGCAAGATTAGCACAGGCAATGATGTCAGCAGCTCCCATCAGCATGGGATCAACTATCTAGCCCAGCGTCTCTCTAAAGGTCTTCCCTGGACCCTCCTTCACTGCTAGCTAGGAGAGGGGCCTGAGCCTGACTCTGCTGGAGTTCTGCTGCCCCAGTGTAATCCTCTTTTAGGGCCCATTTATTCCCTCTTTTCCCCACAGCATTAGAAGCTTCTTGGGAAAATGCCTCTTTAGTGTGTTTGCCACTCAGTGTGTAGCACAGAGATGGCTCGATGTTTGTTGAATAAATGAGTGAATGAACTGATGAATAGATGACTGTCTGGCAAGCCCCCCTGGCTTTTTTCCTGTTCTTCAGCATACCAGGCTGCTCCCTGCCCAGGCTGCTCCTACAAGCTGGAATGTTCTTCCCTAGAAGTCTGCATGGCTGGCTCTCTCTTCTCTGACACTAATTTAATGTCATGGTCTCAATGAGGGATTTACTGCCATGTAGTTTAAAACTGTACCTCCATTCCAACCCACCTTCCCAATCTCCCCTACCCTGTGCTAATTTTACATTTTCTCATAGCACACATCACTCTCCAGCATCTGTGTAATTTGCTGATTTACTGTGTTGATACAACGGTCTGTCTCTCCCTCTGGAATATAGTTCCAAAGGGCAGGACTCTTTGTTGTGTTCACTGGTGTATCTCTGGTCACCAAATGGCACTTAGCACATGGTGAGACTCAGTAACATGTCATGAACTGAATTTGTAAGTGAATGAATACTGAGGGAGAGAATGAATTCTGAGGCACTGAGGAGGGATAAAGAAAATGGGTAGTGTGCCATCATCAGGGTTTGGATTTCTGGTCCTTTTGTGCAGGACCAACAGGAGCTCCTGTGATGACTTGTGTATTTAATTTGGTCAGGAATTAAGGAGCAGAGTTTGGGACCTCAAGTGTGTTGCGCGATTTCCCTCTTGGTCCCTCAGTTTCCCTGCCAGTAAGTGGTCTCGGGCTACCAGCAGTTTACAGTTTCCATCATTAGGTGAATCACACTTCGAGGCAGGTTTGGGGAGTCAGTGCAGGTGTGTGTGGGGAGGCTGGGCCTCCCTAGAAGAAAGGTAAGCCTCCCAGCTACCTCTGCCTATCACTTAAGGCGGTAAGCCTTTGATATATTTTTTAATTTTTAGTTTTTATTTTTCAGAGACAGGGACTCATACAGTCACCCAGGCTGGAGTGCAATGGCCCTATCATAGCTCAATGTGACCTCGAACTCCTCAGCTTACATGATCCTCCTCCCTCAGCTTCCAAGTAGCTACACACTACCATGACTGCCTCATTTTTACTTTTATTTTTTGTAGAGACAGGGTCTTGCTGTGTTGCCCCAGGCTGGTCTTGAGCTGCTGGGCTCAAATGATCCTCCTGTCTAGGCCTTATTGGCCACCACACCCAGCCTCAGCATTAACTATTTACAGAGCCCTGTGCAAGGCATGTTGGCTAGGAACTGCAGCACCTCAGGAGTAAGACCATCTAGGTGGTGAGACAGGCCCTTAGGCCTCTGAGAGCCTTATGAAATTTGAACCTTGACCCTTCCACTTAAACCAGCCTACAACTGTTTGCTGTACTGGGTGTTGTAGGTAGGTTTGTCTACAGCTTGGAATGTTAGAAAAGAGGTGCCTTCAGCTACTCCCAGTCCAGGTTGCATTTTGCCTTCACTACTGACCCTCTCACAGACCCTGAAGCAAAGTAATGAGTGAATTTCCCATGTAACTGTTCAAGTTCAAGCCCCACCCCCACCCCTGCCTTGAAACCCACCTTCCAGCTTGGGACTGTGCTCCTCCCTCTGGGATGTTCCTGCCCTGCCCAGCCGAGGCACTTAGTTCATCTTTAGCCATCTTATCTTTCCCCACCTGCCTTATAACCATCTTGGACCTCTGTGTAAACCTGGGCGTAAACTTCACCCAGACAGTCACTGACCTGAATGACCTTGGACTTGTTACTACTACTCAGCAAGTTATTGGGGTGTAAATTGGAAGGTAAAAAAAGCTAGAAATATTTTCATTAAATCCCTTCCCATGGCTTGGCGCCTGTGGCTCAAGTGGCTAAGGCACCAGCCATATACACCTGAGCTGGTGGGTTTGTATCCAGCCCGGGTCTGCCAAACAACGATGGCTGCAACCAAAAAATAGCCGGGCATTGTGGCTGGTGCTTGTAGTCCCAGCTACTTGGGAGGCGGAGGCAGGAGAATCGCTTGAGTCCAGGAGTTGGAAGTTGCTGTGAGCTGTTTGTAAAGATGCTATGGCACTTTACCCTGGGCGATAGCTTGAGGCTCTGTCTCAAAATAAATAAGTAAAATAAAATAAACCCCTCCCATATTTCCATCTGTGCTGTCAGGTTTTCTTACCTACTTAATTTTTTTTTCTATTTGTATTTATTTATTTTTTTGAGACAGAGTCTCAAGCTGTCACCCTGGGTAGACTGCTGTGGTGTCACAGCTCACAGTAACCTCAAACTCCTGGGCCCAAGTGCTTCCCTCTTTTTTTTTTTTTTTTTTAGAGACAGAGTTTCACTTTGACACTCAGTAGAGTACTGTGAAATCACAGCTCACAGCAACCTCCAA